CCGAAAATACATCTACTTTAAAGTGATGATAAAAATTTTATAGGTTTTAATTCAAAACATTTTCTCGAAACACTTATGAAAATTAATAAAAAACTGAAGGTTTAAAAATAAGTCAGAATATATGTCCGAATTTTATTTTTGAATTGAACTTAAAATTTCAAATAGAAGGAATTAACTAAGTTTAATGCAAGAAGATAAATTAATAAATATGTACCAAACTGAATTAATACTGAAGAGCTAAAATTTTGTGAGCCAATTTTTTAAAAAACTACTCTGCGATTTTTACCAAAAAAAAAAAAAAAAAAAAGGCGTTTTCGCACAATTGTGTCGTAGAACGGAAATACAGAAAAAAAAAATTGGCATCTCATTTCAGAAAAAGTCCGATTTTATGTCAAAATACCTATGTTAGAACAATGCTATATTTAAATCTAACATTTCGCTTTTGAGACACGAAAAACGCAAGTTAAATTTCGTCAGTCAAGTCATCTCAGTAGAACGGGAGATATAGAACAGAATAAGTGACTCTTTATTCCAAAACTGATTCAGAATGGAATTTTTCATGATTTTCGTACGCACTTATCGCGTATAACTCAAAAACGTTTAGCCGCAGAACGTTGAACTTTCGTATATGGGACTGGTGTAACATCTAGTTGTGCACCTCTCTCTCTTTATTGCAATCGGCAATAGGAGAAGTATCTATCTATGTGTATATATAGTACAAATTTCTTGATATCATTTGATACCAAATTTGTAATTTTTTTTTAATTTGTGATCTACCAGTTTAAAATATAACCCGGAAAATTTAGGTTGGACCTTCAAAATTTTTAATACGGAATTTTATTCTTTTTCATTGCATTCCAATTTTTTTTTTTTTTTTTTTTTTAATTTTTCAATCATATATACATGTCCGTCCTTTATTTTCGTAGTCGCTTGATAATAGTTATAAAATTCCAGTTACAGAAATGTTTTAAATGACGAAAATTTTTATGTTTTGGCAATGATAAATTAAAAATAAAATAATAATAATTAAATTTGGAAAAATAACTAAATCTAGCTTCGGTTAAATATACTTATATTTCGGAGAGCTTTATACTCATTATGAAAAAATAAAAATTTGAAATTTTTGTTGTCCTTTTCAACTTCCCTTGAAGGATCGGTTAATTAAATTTGAATGTTCGACGAAATAAATCTGAATAAACTGCAGCAAAAAATGTGTATAATTTAATAGGCCGTGCAAGGAAATCATGTGGTGTTCACATCGGATTTTTAGTTCTATATAAAGTAAAGGAAGTATTATAAACTCGAAAGTTTTCGGGTATCATATTTCAACGAAAATATCCATTTTGACACCTCTCGAATCCATTTGAACGACGTTTTTTACCAGACGTACAGACAAAATAAAGGACTTTTTTTCCCTAAAACTGACTGTAGAATGGATTCTGAAGCGATTTTTCCGCAAGTACGTACGTATATTATGTAGCTGTTATATCTCAAAAACAAGTTGATCATTGATATTTTGTATATGCGACTACTATAACATGTTGGAAGGTATATTTAGTTCAAAGGGGCTTTGTCCGCGAGGGACTATTGCTTCGAATCACTCTGAATGTCCGTTTCACTTTTGAAACTGTTGCCACCAAATATTATCGCCTTTCATTATATTGGAAGAAATTAAATAATGAAGAATCTGCATAAATGTATGTGACGAAAGAACGGTTCTGCGTGAGATTGCATCGAAAATTCTAAAGATATGCTCTTTTTAAATTAATTTTGATATTGCTCTTGAACTGAATTTTATGCTTTAAGTGCGAAGAACATGATATTTAATAAATAAAGGTAACACGCAAAAAGTTAAAAAAACGACCCTTTGGACGTAATTTAAAATCTGAAACCTTTCAGATTTTTTTATTATTTAATTTTATAACTGTTATTTTAATTTTTAAAGTCCCTTTCCTTCCACTTACAAATCTACCAGAATGAGCTTTTAGAATCGCGCTGAATGCAAATGAGTTAGAAGCAACAGTTTTTTATTCAATGCTTTGTATACTAAACTGCTGACTGTTGAAAATATGAGATAAACTATTTATTGCTTATTTCACCGTTTTTAAGATACTAAAAAGTTGTGTGATTTTTTGGGGGGGGGCAACGGGAAGTTGGTTAATTTATTTATTAGGATAATTAATATTTGTATTAAGGGATATTGCTTATTTTGTTCTGCTTATTTTCTTTTGATTTTTGGACACGCAAAACGCAATCTTCTTATTCTGACGCGCATGCGTCTCGCGAGGCACAACAGAATTTCCTTTCGTTTCTCCCCCTCTCTCTTTCTTTATTAGCTAATGGCAAAGAGGTTTGTATATTTTGAATCATGTCATCCACAGAGCACAATTTTGATCGGTTATTGCTTTCTGATGATAGTTTCATTCTTTTAGAAATGTGATTTTGGCAACAGTTTTTTATTTATTGCTTTGGATACTGGACTGCTGACTGTTTTCTCTTGAAAACATGAGATTTATTGCTTATTTCATTGTAATTTTTCATATTATTTTTTAATTATATATAACTTGAATTATCTAAAATGTTTTGCATGATTTTTTTAGGAAACAAATTTTTTAGCTTCCTTTATACCATTTTAAATTCTTAAGATTTTGCAACGGGAAGTTGGTTAACTTATTTATTAGGATAATTAATATCTGTATTAAGGGATATTGCTTGTTTCATTGTAATTTTTATATATATATATATAATACATTTTTATTTATTTATTGGTAAAATAGCTCTGCAGAGTAAAATTTTGTTCAGGTTTTAAAATTAGTGTTTGGTATTCCCTTTACGCATTTTTACCGTACATTTAAAAACCAGACGAAGGCTTAAGTAGACCAAAATACTTTTTACGAAAGAATTATATATATCCACTTCGTTACTCAGCTCGGTGAGCTGAGGTTTTTATTTATTTATTTATTATTATTCTTGTATGTTGGTAAATTGTGCATTTTTTACTTTAAAAATGATTGAATTATGTTGTTTTTATCTTCCGGTTAAGGTTTTTATGCCTTTAATTAGTCTGCATCCAATAATTATAGATTTATCGTGAACTTAAAAGTTGTTTAAGTGTTACTAAGCCTAAAGTGGCAGCTATTTGTTTAGATATGAAACTCTTAGTAAATAACGAATTAAGTCAGTTGGTGCACCAGCTTCAGGTCTTTTTACCGAATGGAACCTAAAGTAAACTTTCGATTTTGTTCACCGAAAATTCTGTCTTTCTGCCCGTTAGCCGAATTGCTTGTTTTTGAATAGAAACTCTAATTTCAATTGTAAAAATTGTTTTTAACTATATTTGGTGTTTTAGGTTTTTCTGTATTTACAGATCTTAATGAGGATTAAATTTTTATGCATTTTTGCCTTGGCGCGAAGTGAGAACTGAATTAATTGAATGAAAAATGTATCTCTAATGAAATTCGATAAAATAAGTTTAAACGAAATGCAGCAGAAAGTGTGTATAATTTGATTGGCCGTATGAAGAAGTCGTGTGGTATCCGCATCAGATGTATTTCAATAAAATAATACAACGAAATTTCGTTTTTATTTCTTTATTCTTTGACTTAAAACGGAAAAAGAAAACGCTGTACAATAATTGTATGTAGAATATAAAGCGAAAAACATTTTCACAATTTCTAGACTAGGGAACAAATCATCAAAAACGTATCGTACATGACGATAAATAATTTACCATTTGGTTTATCAGCTACTATAAGCACCACGAGGAACACATATCTTGACAAATATTACAAACCCACATGAATGACATTGATTGGTGAGAAACTTCCACTTGAAGCATTATATTTACATAAATTTGCTTAAAACAATGGTCTCAGCCTGGCTGCATGGGATCCGAAGCAATTTTATGCGGCCCGCGAAGAACATTTCAATTGTAAATTTGTTGCCAACACGGTGCTGGTAAAATTTTAATTAGTTAAAGTCCGAGTTTACATTATCTTCATTACCATTAAAAATTAACGTAAATAAAATATAAAAAATTCTATAAATGGAGCTAATAATTTACAATGCGATATAAATTTTAAAGATATGAAGATAAAGATTTTATTAACTTTTATTCAAAATCTAAAAACGAAATTAATTAATCTAAAATGTGATATAATTCTTATTTAAAGATGTGAAGATATCGATTTTATTAACTTTCGTTCAAAACCTATAAATAGAATTAATTAATTTAAAATGTGATTTAACTCATTAAACATTTGAAGATCAGGTTTTTATTTACTTTCGTTAAATCTATAATAGACCTCTTAAATACTTAAAAGATTTGAAGATAAATCTTTCGTTCATCTATAAATAAATTTGCTTAGATTTGCAGATATTACTAACATTTATCCATACCTGTCAAAAAAAAATAAATCAGTTGCGAATTTTTGTATTAAGAAAAATCTATTTGGCATACAATTTTATGCGAACAGCTTTTTTTTTCACAGTAGAGAATTAAAAAGAAAAAATGCGATTGGCTGATCAGCATATATAATCCGCGATGAAGATAATTTCTGTCTAGAACTACAAACTTTATTAAAATCGAAATGGCATCAAGTGTCTTTTTGTCAGATTTTAGGAACATTTTTCTGAAAAGTTAAGAAAATTTTGATAACGTTTTTTTCAATTTAAATTAAATCAAGTTATTTAATAATTAATTATATATATTATAATTGTTTTAAATAGATGTCAGTCTAAAAATTTAATATTTAACTATCGGTATATTTGAGTTCCAAAATGTAACAAGCAAAAATCTCTTGGATGTACCAAACTTCAGATAGAAAGTAAATACAAATTTGATTTTTTTTTCATTTATGGTACTATTATTATGTTTATGTGTGTTTTAAAAAGCACTAAGCGAAATTTAAAATATTGTTTATAAATAAAATAAAAATATAATATTTTTATTCAGCATAAAATTTTGTTGAATAAAAATTTATTAATTTTTTTTTTTTTAATTCTGCTTTTTTTCATATCATGCATACGTCAGCTCTTTTCATATCATGCATACGACCCGCAGGCAGTTTGAGACCATTGGAATAAATACTATCTTTATATTACAAGTAGTATATATTCTAAGAGAATCTATCAATAAAAATGGTGACTTCATGCTTATGATGTATACTATGACAACTTAAACCATTAAAAATTGCAAAAGAAGTACCACATATTAATTGAAAATTTTTAGGAAATAAAATAGAAAAATGTAATAGAAATATTGAAATTATATCATCTGCTTCGATAATTCAATTACAATGCACTCTCGTTTAGTCAGATGCTACAGTTTTATGTTGGCTGGCCACGAAAAGACACACTTTTTATCTTATGTTTCTTGTTTTGTTACCGCTTTGCGGATTTTTTGATTGAGATGTAGTGGCAACGATAAAAAAATGAAGAATGTTCTTCTGTAAGCAAATGAATTGTGAATAGCTGTAAATAAAATTCTCCTTGCAATAAAATGGCGAAGAATTTTAATTGTCCAGTGGATTTCTTCAAGGAATGCTAAGCAGAAAGATATCCTTATCAAATATTGTTAAATATTGAAGGTAAAATTAAGGAAATACAAAATTAGAAAAACGGGCAATTATCAAAACCTGGTTAACGCCAGACAGCACAGATAACTGAAAAATGCGGATAATCCAAATCATCAGTTTTGTTTGTATATTTTATCCATTTCATGTTGTGTTATTTATATCTTAAAAAAAGCGGAAATTTTACTTTTTTTTTAGAACATTTAAATATCTGTCAAATTTCACTGTGGATATTTCAAAGTGATATTCTATCACTATTCGAACAGCTTTTGGCCGACAGAGTATCAGTAGAAGTCATTGCTGTGTCGGAACTAAATGTAATTATCCAATATCGTCTTCGCTTGTATTTTCAATATCACTCTCTGCTTCCTCTGTTCTTGTGACATGTAAAACGATTGTAACGGGTTTTATTATTAATTGAGTTTTCAAAGTTTAAATCAGCTTTTGAAAGAATAAAAAAATATGCACGAATATACTTAATGATCAACGGAAACTATGCCTTAAACATGTAGAACTAATTGTGCGAGGTAATAGTTGAAGCTAAACCTAAAGACGCATTTCTGAGGGTTTTAAGACATGCTTTAGACGGTGGTATAAATGTCATAGAAAGATAGTCAGAAGGCATGAAATACGGGAATTTCGTTCACACCTGCGAGACTGGGTCTAAGGCGTAACCAATTAGAGAAGCTAAACTTGCGCATGCGTGGATGTGTCTACAGCTTTCGCTGTGGTTGCACTACTCTTATACAAAATTGAAATAAGGTTGAAAACTTCGAACTTTATGCCAAAACCCCTAAACCAGTTTTTCTGGCAAGGTCGGATTACCTAGCAACGGAGCTTAGCTTAAACCAGTTATCCCATTTACACTACCGTCTGAGCGAAGCCTAAAGCTGCGTTCAGACGAGGGCGTAAAGGGCATAAGTGGTTAAAGCCGAGCTCCGTTGCCAAGGCAACCAGTCTGTGCTACGTCACAAAATCTGGTTTGGGCTCTTGGCATAGGGTTCAAAGTTTTCAACTTTACGCCGAGTTTGGGATAAGTGTCGACCAATCAGAGCGAAGCTAAAACGAAGCGGCGTTCTACAGAAGATTTCGCTGTCACAAAGCTAGCAAAGCGAACGCGAGACATCAATCGAGCAGGAGAACAGCGCGGGAAAGTTGTAGACACATCCACGCATGCGCAAATTTAGCTTCTCTCATTGGCCACGGCTTAAACCCCGTTCTCGCAAGTTTGAACGGAATTCCCATGTCTTATACTACGCTTCTATGCCTTTTACGCCGCCGTCTGAACACAGCCTAAGACTCTGTTTCGACGGTGGTATAAATGTCATAAAGGCATAAAATGCGTTCACACCTGAGAGACAAAGGGGTAGCCAATTAGAGAGCTAAATTTGCGCATGCGTGAATGCGTCTACAGTTTTGAGCTTTCGCTCTGATTGGTCGACTCGTATACCACGTCGACAATCGAGAGTGCATTGCATAAAAAAGGCATTGAGAACAACCTCTATCAAAACAATGCAATAAAATAGACGAATGTCATAAAAACTTTAAAATTATATCTTTATATTGCAAGAAAATAGTATGAATTTTTTTTCAATTAAAAATCTTAGTTGAAAATAATCTTCATCAAAACAATGCTATGAATTATGTAAACACGCTAGGTTCAAATAAATAACATAATAATTTTTTGCAATATAATACATTTTTGCTTACATTAATCATTAATTTCAGAATAAATATCTCTTGATTAAATAGTAAATATTCTTAAACAGAAATAGACAATGTAATTTCACAAATATTCGATCAGAAATTGTTACCATTGCTTCCTTCAGTTTTGTTATCATTCAAAAGTATGAATTAAAAACATTAACAGCATAACTTCTTCTAAAAGAAATTGCGTGTATTCACAATTTAAAAGAATAAATCAAATCAAGGAAACATTGCTCTATATATGTAAGATCAAAAATAAATATAAAACGAAGGAAGTTAAAAGATGCTTACGACTTTCCTGTCGACAATTAACTACTGCTATTTCCTCGTGTATTCACTCCTAGCTTTTTAGCACTGCATTCCGTAAATTTTAAAACAATTCGCATAATTCACCCTTTCCTCTATTGTACATAGTTTATTCAGAGCTACTTTATTGGTAAATTTAATAACCCTTAATTACTTTTATTTCCATTTGTAATTGCATTTTTGTATTAGGAACTCATCCATTTTATTTTGCTTTGCATTTATTATTTAAAATGTGTTCTGTGCAGATTCTTCGTTTGTTAAACTATTCGGACGTGCAGCGTGTTCTCCCATTTCAGAAACAATCCAAATATGTGGGCTCACCTTACTTCTATTATTTACTTTCCAGCTCATTACAGACTTATCTATTGCTGACGTGATCGAGCTTAAGAAATCCGGGTCATTTGCTCGTCTCCCTTCCTGGGATGTCTTTCTTGGGAACAGAGGTTATGTGAGGTTACTACTAAGGCTTTAAAAGGTAATTGAGATAGACAGCCCAATTAACATCGGATAGCTGCCCAGCATACCTCTATACTGTACTGCTAATGTATTCTTATTGGCTAATTTTAATGTATTCTTACTGGAATATATATATTTTTAAATAAATTATATCATAATAGTTAAACGTAGTTTATCCATGTAGTTTACTTTTCATTTGTTACGTTCTTGCTGTAACCGTGTTTCTCAGCAAATTAAATTACTCTCATAATTCTCCTCTATTTACGGACGATAAAATTCACTAAAAAATTGGGGAAAATAACACGAGGAAACACATCACAAATTACAGTGACGGCAGGTTGCAGTTACGAATAAACAAATGTAATAACCTTAATCAATATGCTTTAGGATGATGCTATGTGATTAGAATATCGATTTTATCTTCTGCTGCATTAGCATACCTGAAACACACCATCATATAAAAGTGATCATTGGAGTATTTAATGTGAAGAATAGGACAGCTTAACGATCATGTTAAGTGCAATGTCACGTGATATCTTTAGGTATACATAAGCATGAGGACAATCATGAATATATAATAAAATGTCAAGAGAAAAGTAATTTCCTTACAACTCAGAATTCGCCAGCTTCAAACGTTGTAATAAAAATAAAAATAGTGAAAAATCTCAAAAGATTCATCTAGGTTGTATTTCAACAATAAACATATGCACTTAAATTTCTTCCAATCCCCAAGTAGTTTACAAGATAACAGTCTTAAAGTCTCAAGGTAAACAGTTAGAGTCTTTAAAAAACGTCGACATTAAATGGGGCTCCAGAAAACATGATATCCAGTTTCGGACTTGACTGTTTAGGCTTTCTGATAGTGGCAACATATATCACACCATTTCAGCCTTTGTATTTTTAATCTTTCATTACAGTTGATGAGAGGAATTTAGGCGCATAAAGAAGACGTATTTTAAGGAAACCAAAACAAATCAAATTAAAAAAAATTAAAAAACTAATAATTCGCTTCATTGCCTTACTTCTGTTAGGCAGACGATCGTAAAAATGCATTTCCCTTTTATAGGGTTTAACATTATTTTCCACAATCAAAATCTCATTTTCAAAAGTTTATAAAATAATAAAACTGCTTTATTCAAAGCTATGATAGTAGCAATACCGCTCGAGAATTTAATGACTTTTTTAAAACATTATATTTATTTTTTCCCAGATTTAATGCTAGCCAGGTCCTCAAAAGTTTTCCCTTTTCTGCTTAGATGTGATTTTTTTACTTTCCATATTTTAATTTTCAAGGCCCGGTGGCTCAACGGCTAGCTCGTTGCGCACCAGCACCACAGGTTCGAGGTTCAATCCCCGGACTCAGCTAGGTTGATTCCTTTGAGTGAGTCGATAAAATGAGTCGCAAGTTATCTTGGAGACTAAACACCGGCTCCTGCGACAAGCTGATCACTTGGTCAGGGCGTTCACTCCTGCACCTTACTTCTATTATTTACGTTCCAGCTTATGAAATCCGGATCGTTTGTTCGTCTCCCTTATCAGATATCGGAGCACCCACGACCCACTAGGGCTGTTACTCCATTGAGTTTAATTTAGTTTTTATTCTAATTTTCAAGGCTTAGAATTATTTCTCAGCAAAATACTATATCGCATCCAAATTTTAAAAGCATCTATAATACGTATAATCACAGATGTCATTAATGTTTTATGTTTGCAGCGTTTAAAAATTAAAGAGAGAAGAAACATCATGACATCACTTTATATATACATTACAGTCACGTGATCTCCTATCGCGCTTTCCGGATTTTGCATTAATCCTGGATGAAAAGGCTGAAATGGGAATCGCTTTTGGGCACTCCGGTCTGAAACGGCACGATTTTTAAGAAAGCCTCAAATGGGAAAGTCTGAAACGGGACATAACCGTCGAAATTGAGACATTGCATGATTCACGTCTAAGGACCTTGAACCCAACAAGAAATGGATGCATCTGAAGATGGAAATAAATTACACACGAAAAATGCCCATTCCAAATCACATACGGTTTGGTTTCTTAAAGGTGCCTGTCAGCAGTTAGTTATCTGCCAGCAAATGAAACGCAAAGAGGCACCTTTCCAGAACTACAGTAATTCTCTGCCTTGGTAAAAGAAGACAGGCTCAACTACAACCAATGGCTTGTAGTGTTGAGCTCCGGCACTTTCAAAAGTCATTTGGAAAATAACAATATCTTGAACACCGGAAAGATGAGGTGAATGCATGAAACAAAGGAATTCAGTTGCTGGCAGATCCGGCACGATCCGGGCTTAACTCACTCTGTTTTTTCCGAGCCTGAAATGAGAAAAATATAATCTGTTAGAAATTTATAGTAATCACAGGTCCGTCAAACATAAGAAATCAAACAGAAAGACTTATTTCAAAAGTAATAATTAAGAAGTTCACAAATTTCATGCTGAAAGACTTATTGCAAAAGTAGTAATTAAGAAGTTCACAAATTTCATGCTGAAATTGCAAAAGTCGTACTTTCATTGAAAGACCAAAAGTAGTTAATAAGTTCACAAATTTCATGCTGAAAGATCTATTGCAAAAGTAGTAATTAAGAGTTCACAAATTTCATGCTGAAAGATTTATTGCAAAAGTAGTAATTAATAAGTTCACAAATTTTATGCTGAATTTACTAAAATAGCAACGTACGTCCTAATGGGCTTAATACAGGTTACTCATAAAAAACTTCTCCGATGTATGAACCCCTAGCAGCCTATCCGCTGAACCAATAGAAATGAAATTTCAGGTATTGTTATTTGAAGAAATGGACTGTAATTTAAAAAATACAGCAAAACTGAAATTTTTATTTAAAATGTTTTAAAGTTTGGAATATAAAATAAAAAAGCGTATGAAATTTCATGCTATTAAACCAGTCATAAAGATGCTTTAAAATGTGTTGTATTTTGGCGATATTCTAGCATTATAAAGGTACCTGACTCCTTGAGGTACTTATCATTATCTACACGTCAGCAAATGTAATTGATGACTTAATTGTGCGGCCAATTCTGTAATAAATTATAACAAAAAATGCCTATAATTTATTATGCATATTTTTTGCTACATTTTTATTAAACTTATTTCCTCGAATTTCATTAGAATACATTTCCTATTCAATCAATTCAGTTCTCATTTAGCGGCAAGGCAAAAATGTATAAAAACTCAAAACATCTTCGTTAAAAATAGTAAAATACGGTAAAACCTAAAACACCAAATACAGTTAAAAAAGAAATTTTTACAATCAACAAAAAATTCGAACAGCGAGCAGAAAGACAAAATGTTCGGTGCACAAAACTGAAAGTTAACGTTCGGCCCCAGTGGGCAAAAAGAACAGAACTTGGTGCACCAACTGACTTAATTAAACAAATGGTGGCCTTATTGGAGTTAGTACCGTTTTTAAATTCTTGATAATTTTACATCTATTACATGCAGATTAATTAAAGGGCATAAAACCTTAATCGGAACATAAGAATACTATAATTTAATCACTTTACATTGTTCTGGCTGAGTGTAAGCTGGCGAGCAGGCAGGAGACAGATCTTTTCAAGGGGAAGTTGCCTCCAAACCTAACTCTTCAAATACTCAATTCGTGTTTCGTCATCCATATAGGCATGGGTAAAGTATTATGCAAAACCAAAAGTAAAAGTCAAATGTAGTGAATTGCTTAAATAAGAAATTTTAAATATGAAAGAATTTCGAGAAATTTAGGAAGCAAACCGACTAGGAAACAAAATTATTAATGAAAAGTATATTGCTAATATAATTAAGAGTTTTGTTTACATACGTTTGGAGAAGCCGATTGCGACGGAAAAGGGTGTTGCACAACCAGGTATCATAGCAGCCCTATACATAAAATCTCAGCGTTCTACGGCCATTCGTTTTTGAGTTATGCGACATGCATGCATACGTGCGTACAGACATCACGAAAAAAGGTCTCCTCTGAAGGCATTTTACAATCTGCTTTGGACAAAGAATCCTTTATTTTGTCCGTACGTACAGATGCCACGCAAAAATATTTTTCAAATGTATTCGAGAGCGGTCGAAATGAATGTTTTCGTTTAAATATGATACCCGAAACTTTTGGGGATTACATTACTTCCTTTACTACGTAGAAGAAAGGCGGGCATACGCAAGGAAACACGGGAGAGCATTTTGTTTTTAAGAGATCTTTCCTCGACGGTATTTAAATTTATATAATGATCTCTTCCGTTCTTTCCCACGTATAAGAACAGTTTTAAAATATCCTCCCAAATCAGTGGATTTTCTATTCATGCACAGGGAGGGTTTAAGTGGAGTAGAGGGGAAGAGAAGAATTTCTTTCTCCTGCAGCGCAAATCGCATAATCTCCGGAGCTAATTGTGAATTCCGTCCCTCCTTTTAATCCTCACCATCCTATTCTGAAGAGTCACACATCGAACAAGGCAAAATTCCCAGATTCCCCTCCTACGACAGTTGCCATGGTAACGGACCATTAAAATGCTCTACTTGAAATCACTTCCCCTCGAAACGAATTTAATCTTATCAAAAGATTAAATGTTGAAGCTAGGGGTCGTAAAACTTTTGTCTACCGGCGTCAATATTATATATTGTCATCGTCCAGGAAATAGAGAGGGGGGGGGGAATTGAACTTTTTTTTTTAAATATTAAATATTTTTTTTATGTATGAAAAGTTGAATTTGAAGTTCTGGTAAAATTTACCATGAAAAACGTTGACAGAAGCTTATACTTCATAAATCTGTAAAATAGCTTTCGTTACTTAAACAGTTATGATTTAAATCTTTAACTTCTCCTTTCCGTATTTCTTCCTTTAACTTCTCCTTTCTTCACCACAGCGCAAATCAGCTTTGAATGTATATTAACTGAGGTTTTTAATTCTTCACTTCAGAGAGCTTCTGGCAGTCGCTTCTTGCTGTTAGTATACTTTCCTCCAGGTCTGGTTAAAAGTCATATTCCGGCTTTAGCATTTTCGCTAGCAGATGTTTTAAATAACCCCCGGTTGAACAACTGAGCCAGCTTATTCTGTTGTATGTGTAGCTTTTACTAGATTATCAAAGGTTGAATTTAATTGCCCTTTATTGCTTAAGTGGTGGGTGAATGTAAGTATTATGTGATTTTTCTAATACATATTTGATGTAATTATAATACATTAATTTACATAAATAATGTAAGACTTCACTAATAATGCAATTGTCTGTAACATGATAAAAAATGAAAGGAAATGTATTAATAAGATAATTATGATACATTAATTTACAAAAATAATGTAAGACTTCAGTAATAATGCAATTGTCTGTAACATGATAAAAAAATGAAAGGAAATGTATTAACAAGATATTTGCCTTAGGAATACGACAATGTACTAGGAGATGCACGAAAAATTCTTCACTAATTAGTTCCTTAAAAAAATATTTAATGTAATTCGGTGTAATTAGATATACTAATGTAAATGTATTGTTTGTATGAAGTACAATGTAAAATGAATGTTTGTACGATGTATGTTCGAAGTTATTATGTTACAATAATCTGTCCTAATCCAACTTTTGTTAATCGATTAATTTCTTTGTAATAATTATATACCGTGTTTTTGCAATTGTATATTCAATACGTAAGTCTAGAATTAATGTAAAATTTCTCTGTAAATGTCTTGGCTGGACGGCGTACCAACCGAACGTCCAGCGGGTACAGTAATACCTGTAAAGTCACTGTCGAAGCTCTGGTGCTCCGTCCGCTTTTCCCTGTCCATTTCCTGCTCAAGTGGTGGAAATTTTATCTGTACCGCAAGTTGTGCTGTTTTGGTCAAAATCAGACAACGTTATTTAAACCTTCTTTTATATATATTTGTGTATTGTGTAACTTTTTTTCTGTGTTTTGTCTGCCTAGAATTTCTGCCGGATTTCAATTTAAACCTCCAATTACAATAGTAACCTATAAATTTAAGGATTCAATTTAAAATTGCTTTTGCATTTAAACTTATTGTTAGTTATTTAACAGATCTAATAATAATAATAATAGCAAAGACCAAAAACCCTCACTTTTACGTCCCGTGCAAATGATTATTCTGTGTTAAGGTTCTACTACCATATTTTTTCGAACTTTTTACGTAGTGTCGCAGATTCTAAGAAGCACTATTAATTTCTGTACTAATAAAGGGGCGAGGAATTAGATTTGAAGGAAATTATAAATGAAATAAAATACTGAAATAAATACATTTCTAAAAATTGAATTCGTTTTATTAAAAATAACAGCATGGCTATTTTAATTAGTCACTTAGAAAATTAATTAATCAATTTATGAAACTTTACCATTTTAAGCTGCATCCCTTTTTTAAAGATCTTCATATGGAAAGAAATGTGTGTCCTAGAATAGCGAAAGTGGCAGAAAAGCCAGGACTGGTGCCGCTGCACCGAGTGGCAAAATTTTAGAATTTACAAAAGCACCGAACAGCAAAGTTAAGGGAGAGTAATTTTTCATATTTAAGGAAGGCAGTATTTAGGGATGGCAAAATTATTAGAATCTGAAGACAGTACCGGACAAAAGCTTTAGAATGTGAAACTAGTACTGGCCAGTAGTATTTAGGGATGGCGAAAGCTGTAGCATCTAAAGCTAGTACTGACTAGTAGTATATACGGATGACAAAATTTTTAGAATTTGACGATAGTACCGGGCAAAAGCTTTAGAATGTGAAACTAGTACTGGCCAGTAGTATTTAGAGATGGCAAAATTTTTAGAATCTGAAGACAGTACCGGACAAAAGCTTTAGAATTTGAAACTAGTACTGGCCAGTAGTATTTAGGGATGACAAAAGTTTTAGAATTTAAAGCTAGTACTGACTAGTAGTATATACGAATGGCAAAATTTTTACAATCTGAAGATAGTACCGGGCGAAAGCTTTAGAATGTGAAACTAGTACTGACCAGTAATATTTAGGGATGGTTAAAGCTTTAGAATTTAAAACTAGTACTGGCCAGTAGTATTTACGAATGGCACAATTTTTAGAATCTGAAGATAGTACCGGGCAAAAGCTTTAGAATGTGAAACTAGTACTGGCCAGTAATATTTAGGGATGGTTAAAGCTTTAGAATTTAAAACTAGTACTGGCCAGTAGTATTTACGAATGAAACAATTTTTAAAATCTGACAATAGTACCGGACAAGCTTTAGAATGTGAAACTAGTACAGGCCAGTTTACGGATGGCAAAATTTTTAGAATCTGAAAATAGTGCCGTGCAGCAGTATTCATAGATGGCAAAATTTTTCGAATCTGAAACTAGTACTGGGCAGCAGTATTTA